TGAGGAAGCTGGGTAAACATTTCCTTTATATCGTATGTCCGAATCAAGAAACGAAACTCATCCTCCCCGCGCTTATTGATTCTCTCAATATCACATTTCAGGTCACTCATTGTTCGAAGATTAAAGTGTGGGACTGAAACACGCTTAATCAGAAAATTCAAAGTCGTGGAAAAAACCCCTGATGCAGCACTAAAAGGACTAGCAAAAGAGGGCACAATCGGCCTTTTCTTTATTTTAACCTTTTCCTTGGATAAGATATACGCATGTTGGAGATGCCCATCATTATCCCATCTGGCGATGCTTTCAAATTTGCACTCAGTATAGCGTGCTTTGATCATCCCAACAACCTCCTTTTCCTGATGAGGAACCACATCATAGTTGTCATTACACAGATACATTTTCTTCAGCCCCTTTTCAAATAACTCGGGGCATTCGACCCACGTTTCGCAGGTATTCCGATCCGGCGGGGATAAGACAAGACCATCGAGCGACTGTTTGACTCCTCTAACGTATTTGGTCCTTACACATCCTTCATCCATTTTTGCACCTGGTTTGCAGATAGAAAGTCAGTCGATCTGTAATTCACGCGTGACAGTCCTAGACTGCCTCGGTGTATCCAGTGCGTTGTTACAAGCAGCTTTAAGCAGATCCTTCGAAGACAGGGTGTCCGGGAAAACCATATTTTTTGCATTCCCGAGGAAAGGATGACTACCCGGTATTTCACTGAGCTTGACTGCGACATGCCCTTCTATACGGGGCAAGTCAAAGTCGGCGCACGTACATTGAAACGAATCTGTACGCGAAAACAACTTTAGGTTGTGCAGGAGATCCCCGTCCGAGTTGGCTTTAAGTCAAATGGTTCTCGTTCTCCGAGCTAATAAGTCATTCAGTACTTCCGTACTTACTTTCTCTCTAACCCACGTTTTGACAGCAACTTCCACTTTTGCTTAATCAATAGTGGTGCAGAAAGGCAATTTCACAGTGATGTAAGAACGGGGGTTAATCCCAAACTTCTTTTTGAACACACTCGTCAGAATTTCACGAATAATTTATCGGTCGCATGGCTGGTTAATTGACTTAACACCATTGTTCAAGTCAATCAGGTCTTCCATCGATCGCTTCAGCAAGTCCTTGCGTTTCCAGGGGACTCGAAGTAAGGCAATAAGTTTTGCCTTTTTTACTTCGGTTGTTGTTTTCGTCTAAAGAATTGACGTCAGCTGCCAGCTACCCCCTTGTTCAATGACGAGTCTCGCATCTTTGAGAAGCAATTTCTCCCCCCTCCACTTTCAAAAAAACAAATAGCAAGACGACGAGCCTCCAAGCTTTGAGCCAAAGACACCCCTGATTGTTAGAAATCGTAACAGACCCTTTCAACTTTGCTTTCACTACTAGTTTCACAACCCACAACAGATCGGGTTCCTGAGTTGCCTTTACATCGGGGCAATAAAAAAACAGAGGATTAGGGACATTCACAAGTTTGGGATTGGCAGTCCGCTTCCCACCGCGGTTCCTATGGGCGTTCCCCTTCCGCCTCATCCAAGTCATATTTAAGCCAGGGTTATGGTTTTTAATTATTCGCCGTTCCATACATTCAATCACAGTATCATGCCCGAACCAAGTAGGAATGGTTACATAGTGAGCGATCCCGGTTTTTCTAAGCCAAGTGTGAACATTCTGCTTGCTAACCCCATTCACGGCCCGCACATGTTCTGCCCACCTCTCTTTTAACGTGCGGATAATCTTCCCAACGTAGACTATATTGTGATTCAGCGACATCAAGACGTACACATAGCCCTGACCACTCAAGAGCCCTTCCCATTGATCCTTGGGCATTCACAACCAGAAACGCACATAGGTTTGTCCCCAGGCAATATCCCCTCTGAGACAGGCAACCGATATAACTAAGATGTGGATTCGCTCAAGCACTTCAGCAGTGTCAGCGTCAGCTGCGGCCTTTAATGCAAGAATGCGTTTGACTGCTCTCTGAAGAGAGCGGAGCCTCCCGAGAGTCAGTTTCCCCCGATCGGACCATCACCCGCTGCTGAGCCTTCGTCGTCATTGTCACTGTTCCGTCCGTTACGACGGCGCGATGGCTCGCCTCCTTTCCCTGACATATCGCTTTTCAATTGGCCGGCGTACTCTTGCAGGTCCAGTCGAGCTAGCTCCCAAGCACCCATTTCCTTGCGGAAATAGGGAATCTCATTTTGCTTGCATAACTCTATCACTCTCGTATAATGTAGAGAGTTATAGAATATCTGGCGCATCTTCATATATGATGCCAGGCCTCCCTCGTCGGCCTCCTCATCGTCTTCGTCGACATGGTCGTTCTGCACGATGTCGACGTCTTCCATGTTGTCTGCAGCTTCCACGGCCTCAACTGCCTCGGCTGCTGCGGCGGCTGCTGCCGCTGTAGCCTGCGCCGTAGCTTGCATTGTCGGGTCTTCCGCCCGCACGGGTTGCTTCCCTTTCTGGTCCGCCAGCCCATGCACCAAGACTTCTAGCGGCTTCTTCACTTCCGACAACTGGCTACTATTCTCCATCTTAACGCTCAGATCCTGCTTCACTCCTCCCGCTGCTCCGTCATCATCAGAGGATAGCTCGATCCTCTTGGGCCGCCCCTTCGCACTCCCACGGGTCCGAGTTTTTACAACATTCTCTTTTGGTGTAGTAACCATAGCTATGCGATCCCCCCCCCACTTTCTTTCCTCACTGCTCGATCCATCTCCCTTTTCTTTGTCGAGCGAGACTTTTTCCTCCCTCAACTTCAGGAGTTTCATGCGTTCAGCGGCCGCAAGCTTAGCCTTGGAATCAACTTCCTCGAGCTTCTGCGTGATGATCTTCAACGAGTCGCCCAAGGTCGAAGTGACCCAAGCTTTCATCTCTTCCCCCTTCTTCAGGCTTCTCATTCGATCGCACCTCCGATCGACTGTTTTCCTCTGTGATCTAAGAGATCCGGATCCCACCGCGTCGCCCGCTTGCTAGCTTATTCTTCGCGACGTCAATCACTTTCTCCGACTTAATGCCTTCAAGAATATCCATATATTCTTTTGTGAAATAGGCCCGGTTCCCAGGACAAGGGAACGAATTCGTAGACGGACCTTTACCTCCTTGCCCACTACTAGATGCATTCCCCCCTTGTTGTGGAAACGAGGGTTGATTCACTGGAGGCACTGCCTGTGGAGGCTGCGGAGGCTGCGGAGCATACAATCCCGGCCATACAGTGTCAGGCCATGCCTGCATGCCCCATTGGTCCCCAGGCATTGACACATAATTGTTCGTCGCCGGCATCTGCATTGGTTGCATCATAGGAATAGTCATAGTCGACATGGTCGGCATAGTCGGCATTGCCGACATTGCTGGCATAGCAGCCATAACGGCCATGGTGGCCGGCATCCCATGTGGTACTTGTCCAGCAGGTCCTTGCCCGGCTGGCATCACATACTGCTGCGGCGGTGCCGTTCTGGGAGGCGCCGGTCCGTTCTGCAAGCCGCCCCCATGCTGGAAGGTGTTGGCTGCTGACGACTGCTGCCCCATCTTGGAATTGGTATCCATCCAATAACGGCCGCAGTTCGACCACCTGCCGCGCCGATTACCAGCCTTGCCGCCTCTTCCTCTCCCGTATATGCGGACAAAGATGGAGAGTGCAAATAGCATCCAGCCGAGGCTAATCCCCAACTTCCACTTTGATTTAACCTTCTCTTCGCAATACTCGATACCTCGCCAATTAAATCTCCATAACATTACACTCGTCACACGCGTGGCGCAGATAACCACGGACGCCAGGTCGCACCTATCCACGCGCCCCATCGCGTACAGGATATTTACACACAACCTTACACCCACGTGTTCTTCCGAGGTGGGATACTTCGGATGCGCAACGAATCTTCGTCTGCCACGAGCACTGCAGTAGGAGCGATTTGTCTCCCTTCCTCATCAGATTCCCGGCCTTGGCCGAAGGCAAGAACCATCACTCATCAATTCCCGATTGTGGTTCGCACATCGATCTTGGGAGTAGAGAAAGGATAACACAGAAAAATATGATGCCAACGCAGAGGGATACGTGAACGGGATAAGAGAAGTATGAGAAAATATAAAAGATGACGAGAAGATGACAAGAAGAGCCAACATAAGCGGGCACCTTAGCTAATTTAATTCCGACAATGAGAACCGAATAGGTTCGCGAAAGTACCAAAATATAATCACTTATAGTTAAAATGAATAATCAACGAGTTTTTAAACAACTCGATCACGATCACGAATAAATATGACAAATAAAACGCGAACTTATCATGATAGGATTCCTATCACCACAAGATTCGGCACCTCAGGCTCGTTCCCAAGCCCCGGCAAGGTCGAGTCTGAGGCTTTATACCATGCAAACATAAAATAACAATGGAATTTCAAGAAGAAGAAGATGACATGAGTGTTACTATCATGGCGCTATCCCCTTCCCCCCGGCATCTCCTTGATACCGAACACCATCAAGGATCTCAACCCTTCTACTCATACGCCACTCAGGCTGATGAAAATTTCCCTCACTACTCCTTAAATACTTACTCTACCATCAGGTTCACGGTGCGTTCGCAGCGAGACCGCCTCATACGTAAATATTCAAATAAATAAAAATTTCCCCAGGTCCTAGGTCAGTTGGTACCAGGCCCTGCAATTACTTCTGCAACAAAACGTATTTGACGAGAGGGCGAGGTTTGAAACTTAAAACATCCTCAACTCTTCGTCCAGATTCAGATGCTGCATTAGTTGGCACTGGGCCCTGTAGCATACTTTCCTTACCAAAATAAATTTGACGAAAGGGCGAGGACGGGTGTTGAAACTATCCTCAATCCTTCATCCAGGTTTCGGCACCTCAGGTGGCAATACCCCTTTTTTTGGGCAGATATTGCCAACACGTTGAAACATGTGGATCGCCGAGGCCAGTTTTTCCGAATGTGCAGCCAAAGCTGCTGTCGTCCGCAGGAGATATCCCAGATTCGTCGGACTTCCTTTGGTCGTCTCGTACTACCTGGCTCTCGAAAGTGACAGTCATCGGCGTACTCCAAATATCAGGATACCAGGCCAGCGGACGTTATCGGCCCTTCAGAGATCAGATCCACGCACTCGCCGTCGAATCTTAAAAAACGTGCTTTGAAACTTACCGCGTCTTCGTCCAGGTTCATGCCCAGGGATGAGCCGACATAGTGAGTCGACATAGTATGGCAGTACGCCAGCTTCTCGAGTGCCAAACCCAAAACAACTCTCGCCTGCCAATCTCATCGTAAGCCCGCAGCCACTGCTAACATAGTCCTGCAGGTTACCTCTGTCAAAGGCTACTACAAACTGGAGAGGTACGGGCCTTTTTTCTCAGAGACCCATTGGCTGATAAGCCCTGCTAGTGCATCCCAGAACTCCTCCCTGGTCCTCCGCCTCATCCAGTTCACCCCAGCAAGTA